CCATCGCCGTGCTGACCCCCATGCCGTGCCCTGGGATGGGCAGTGCAGGGTGCGACGCAGTCGCTGGTAGGCTCTAGCCTTCCTCAGCTAACCCAACACCACGACGCCAATCTTGGCCTCAGAGTTATACCCAAAATAGCAATGAAATGCAAGAAATTAAGTACAACGTGCAGCAGACCGCAGGACAGACAGGCGTGGAGACTATCAGACAGGAGTTAGATCCTCCTACAGGCACTGCCCTCAGTGCTCTTGGCTGCAATCCGCAACCTCCTCCAGTTCTAGCATAATTTAAGGAAGAGCTGTACGTAGACGGAGGACGATGCAATCTGTAGATGCCTCTGAATTACATGCCGTATGTAGAAGCAGTGGCAAACAGGCCAGCTAGGACTGCCCATGCAGCGACAGATTGAAAAGCTCCCCTGGGAACCGAGTAGAAATAAATGGAAAACCCAGTAGAAATACAAGGCAGTGTCTCTTCTATCTGAAAGGTTACAGCATCACCCAGCTCCTCCAGGCCTGCAGACAGTATCCCTCTTGTCACCTTTTGGTGATGGACACAAAGCTCTACAGTGACCCAAACAGATTACTTTCTCATTTCTACATTCGCTCAGGCCTCCCCTTGACTTGTGTGTTTGGCAGACACGCGTTGTTCCTTATCCATCACGCAGAGCCTCTTTGCTCCTAGTGCTCCAAAGGAACGCAGCAATATGACAAAAGCATGTTGAAGGAAAATACTTGCTAACAGTAGCAATCTTTAAAATATAAGCAATACCCTATTGTTCATACCAAAATTAGTTTTATGCTTATGACACACCGATTTTTAAAGGCTTGCAGATGAAGAGCCTGAAACTCAAATACATACAATGCTTTCTTCTGCTCCGAAGCCCCCTTTGCACAAGCACACAGGAGAAGTACATGTGAAGACATGGATTGCCAGCATACAGCTGCTCTGTCTGCAAAGGCGGAAATACGTTTTCACTTATTTGGCCCTTCACATTTCTTAAAGAATTGTATTTATGTAGCATGTAACTTCATGAAGGTTTCAGGGATTTTTTAAAGTATTTAAATACTCAGAGCGTATTGGTAACAGATGTTCAATGATACACTTAATTTTTAGTTTTACTGAAAATATCAGGTATCGGTTGATATTTTCTGTAAAATATAATTGAGAGTATGCCTAAGTATACTGTACTTCCAGGAAATGTATCTGAGCCTTTCAGCTACTGCATTAAGGTGGGCACTTCTGAAATTAGTAAGCAAATGTTCTGAGAGTCTAATAGGATTTCTTGTTTGCCAAAAAATAGTGCTTTCAGGAGCACAATCTTTTGTGTAATCTCTCTCTCACAAGACAGATGGCATCATTAATTGCCTCTACATCTAGTTAAATTTAAAAACCTGTGCTTAAATAATGTTAAAGTTGTGGCACATGTTGACAAACATAGGAAATATTAAGGTAGAATCGATTGGAAACAAGGGAAGAAACCCAAGACAGAACAGACAGGAATAGTAAGAGGCCACAAGAAACACTGACTGATTTCATATGTCCTTGTTCGTGCCCGGAAATGTCACAACCTTAATAATCTAGGAAGCATTTCTGTGTTTCAGTGAACTCCTGGCTTGAGCAAAGCAATTGGCAAAACTCCCATGGGCGAGAATGTCATCCTTTAATCTTTTTAAAGCAACTTTACATGGAAGATGTCCAATATGGCTTAGCTGCAGTTCTAATTACGATGCCTGTGTAAATACATTTTGGGAGTCAAACGTAACTGTGATCTGTATTTCAAAGCTAACATTATTCTGATTCTCTGGTTTACCACAGTCACCCTACAGTGGTATCAGTTACCAAACCCCTGATTTTAAGCCTTCTCTGAGCTTAAAATGCAAGATAATCATCACAACACCGCCAAAGAGCCAGCTTCTGCCAATAGATACCATATGCTAACTGTTTGGTTTTAAATACAAGCCCTGTGTTTAAAGCCTTTTCTCACACCATGCAAGCTGTGATTTTCAGACGCTTAGGAGAAAAGGACACCCAAATTTGAGTGCATACAGCCATGCCATCTCCTGAAAGCCCACCTATACTATATAGCCTATCCCATTAAATACAGCTATGTTGCCTTTTACAGTTAAGTACTTCTTAAATAGTGAGGGTCCTAACTGAAGATTGTAGAAGACAACAATGTCAAAAGAGCAAAAAACAAGGAGATGCACTGGGAATACGAGAAATAATTGAGACTTGATACTGAGGTCTTAAATCGGCATCTGTATCCTTATGCTACTTTGAATATGTATAGTTGTACCCAGTAAGCTCAACAAAACTAGTCATTGTTAACAATACGGATTTTGTGTTCTTTAAAATGATCTCATTTTCTTTAGCCTTCAAACACAAGGCCACTACCAGAACACCGAAAGCTCAGTCTCTTCACCCAGATTTTACTTCATTTTGTTTTATCTCAGTCTGGCATTATACTTTAGGTTTGTACACCTGTCATAATATTCAATCCTATTGGCCAATATCAACCAAATTTGGAAGAAGGTAAAATTGAAATATATTAAACTCTCATGAGATTCCTAAAGTAAGTGAGCAGAGGAAAGAGACCTTACTAGCGACCTTGCAATGGGAAAGGCTGCAGGGTGAGTTCAGCTGGAGAACACAAGGGAACTTAACTTCAAGGCAGAAATCTGTGGGAAGCCCGACTTCACTGTTTTTAAGCTCATGGAAGTGTTTTTATTTTTAAATAGAATAGAGTATTCAATAGTGCCCTTTATTTCATTTTTACAGTGTCTGACTGGTGAAAGAATTTAGTATATTATGTTGTGACAAAGAAATCTGACTTTATGAATAAAACAAATGCCAGATTAGCATAGAAACATGCGAGATTAATATTTTGTTACAAACCACGATCAAGGCTGATCATCAACATTCATAGCAGGGATGAAATTGCTTCTTTCAATCCATTCTCTTACCTATTTGTTCCTTGGCACTGAAAGCAGTGTGTGTTGGGACAGTATCTTCCATCACCTTCTAAGATCTGAAAGTTCAGCTGGGCGTTGTAAGGGACAGTGGCCTCCCCTCCCCTGCTTCCCTGCCATCCACTGTAGGCAGCAGCAGGTTCTGGAGTCGATGCCCTTCTGCTGTCTTGATTTATTATATTACTTTTTAAGTTGTCAAAAGTTCTGATACAGCTGACTACAAGGTTTTGCTGATAGGCTTGTAAACTGTGGCAGGGAGGACTAAGGTCACTCGAGTGGTTCTGATTTTACCTTTTAAAAAGACCCCATTACTCATCTACACAAAAGACTCTCCTGGGCAGGATTCCATGAGAAAACATTTATTTAGTCCCTTCCATTCTGCTCAGTTATACCTGATATAAGTCACACAGTGCTCCAGCACTCCAAAACTGCACTGGCTTCCTAGCAGCGTTCTCCTTTCTAAGTAACTCAAGGTGTTAACCTTAGAACATTGTTATTTAAAATGTTGTATTCTTCAGTCTAGACTCCCCCAAAGGCCCCCCCATCTCTTCCCCCATTAGTGCAACCTGTGCCTGGAGTTAATTTGCCCACCGTATGAAGTTTTCAGGACTGGAGGAGGTACGATATACTGTCAGACACTATCGTAAAACTGAATTTCATAATGCGCCACACAGTACCCGGATCTGCTGATCTTCTGTTAAAATATTTTTAAATATTCTAAAGCAAATAAACTACTAACTGTGTACACATTTGTGCTGCAGCAGAAAGCAGTGCGTGGCCTCAGGCTATAGGAGGGGAGCTGGAATGGTGTCGTGCACTGCTCGCTCTCCTCTCACGTGCTACTCTTGATACCACGCACGCAGGAAGCCTCGGAGCTTTGACAGACCAAAAGGACTCCATAAAAACACTCAGGAGCCTGTGCAGCCCACATGGAAGACTTGTTAGGACAAGGATCTACAGAGGGAATTCCAGAGGAACATTTGTGCTAGAGAAAGACAGCTGAAGCTATCGCACGAGCACATTTTAAGAAGTAACTGCCCCTCAGGTGGGATGATGGAGGTGCACTGCATTGACCGCTCCCAGGCCCCTACATCCGGGAAGCAATGCAGGTTCATTTTGATCCCGGCAGCGTTGCCTTTAGTCATATGCACTGTCACATGCCACACATTGACCTCCATCTGTATTTTGATATTGAGCATAATTTTGTATCTGGTGTGAGATCGCATCTATCTTTCTTGTGGTAAAACTTTCTCTCAGACATTCTAAAAGCCAAATGGAGAGTGAAATGGTTTGAATGAGCATGTTTTCCTTTTCATTCACAATGAACCGATAGCTGGTACAGAACAGCTGACTGTGGGATGAGTGACAGCAATCCCCGACCCAGGGCTGTTGTAACTTCTTGAGACATGACGACTGGACTGCTTTCCATTACCTCTCTCTACTTAAATTAGCCATTATGATGTAAACCAAATTGTTCATCACTACCGTCCTATTTGCTGTAAGAAACTGTCAATATCCCCTCTTCCTCAGATTCACCCTCAAACCTTAAAACACTGGTTTACTCAAAAATGTACAATAATCCCTGTAATTATTTTTACAGAGCAAAATACAAGAGAATCAGAACATTTTGAAACTAAAATCATGCAAACATGTTAGCCGTAACACCATCATCTCTAATTACCAGCTTAACACGGAATGCACTTATTTTAGGGAAAAAAGTAATTAGAAGGAATTAAAATACTATTTTGTTATCAGTCAGCTTTGAAAGCAGCCCTGCAGGCTTTGTTGGTTTGTTACTCTTCAGGCTGATGAAAAAGGTTCCTCAGGTCCACCTGTCAGATAGGGTCTAAACTTTATGCTATCGCTACAATAACCATGTGCTTTACCTCTCTCCACAAGCCTTACAGCTTAGAAGTAGTTTGTTGAAAAGGGCAAAGCTTTCTCCTGATATCTGTTGGGATCAAGTAGGAAAGCAGACATTTCATGACCTCAGGGGGACCGTGAAATAACATATCTGCCCCACTCACCTGCTGCTCCATCGTTTGTGGATGGATGAAAGTCACAAAGTCAACTGAGAAGTAACCAAGCACTCCTTCAGATTTACAGGTTTCTCCAATTTTTAAGCAGAGTGAATTAAGAACTGCTGGATCAACAGAACGTTGTGGAATGGTAGTGCCAGATGATCGCAAAGGACCATCAGCATGGAGCTGGTCTCCAGATGACACTATTTTTATCTTGCCTGTTGGCTCTATCAGCATATCCACCGTAAGGTTTGTGACGTTTTCTGACAGTGGGAAGGCTTCTATCACACCACCTAGTAAGAAATGAATTAGCTGTTAAGCTAGTAATCAAATTCGCATGTGATGCTCTTCCAAGTGCACAGAATGAAACCATCCAGCTCCTATTGTGCTCAGACGTTGCAGGGAGGACTGCTATGGAGATGCACTAAGTAAATAAATGTAATGTGAGCAGCATAGCTAGAACCTATAGATCTCTTAGAAGAGAAAGAAGATATCTCATCTACTATAGCACCGTACAGTTCAACCAGGGGCTTCTGAGCGGCAGATGCTTTGCAAGCAGTTCCAAACTGGATGTATCACATATCTGACTGGAGAAATCTGCTCTTGGGTAGTATGAATGAATCCTGGGCAGGCCCAGGATAGCAGTGAAACGCAATGTTGGGACCCTGGGGGGAGTGGTATCTCCTGCTGTGAGCTAACCTTGGAGATTCCCATCCATACTATGGTCTGAGAGAAGTTGTCTGCCTTTTGATAGGAACTTGGTATGTAGATGGGAAGGCGAGAAAAGCTGACAAAACTTCTGGAATGGTTGTTCATAGGAAAAAAAAAAAATCACAAAGAAAACTGGTTGGCATTCTCGACTTGCCTTTTTACTGCATATAATACCATAATTCATTTAGTTAGGACAAACTAATATATAATAAAAATTGGTACTATATATGTTAACTGGCCTTATTTTTCCAAAAAATACTTTCAAAGCTTTGAATCATTCTTGTCTCTTCCACAGATAAAGAAATGTAAGAAATGTATATATCCATTACATATAATACAAAATGATGGCAGGGCAGAATCATCACAGAAATTTACTACCCAACCAAAAACACTGCATCTTTTCCATCCAGAATTTGTCATACAAATATAGGATCTTAACAGGTCTGTGCAAAGCTCACCCACAGATACACTGCTTTGCAGTGATTAGACAACGGTTTTATCTGCACTGCCTCGGACAAAGATGGGCTCACTTCTGAGCTCTAGGCCAGTTGGGTGCTGGCCAGCTTTGATCCAAAGGTGCCATGAGTGGGTTTAATGCAGAAGGCCCTGCTGAGAGCTCGGCACTACGCGCACAAAACTATCCAGCTATCAGATTGGAACTTGTTCATTCTCCTTTGGTTGGAGGGCAAGAAAGGGCACGGCAATGGCCTAATGAAGCGTCTGTGCCAATGTACTGTAAGGGACAATCCGGCACCGCGTTACCGATCCTCAGTGGCAACACCACCTGCCTGGAAGGCAAAAACTGGGAGAAAGCTCAGCTCCTCTCCCAGTCGGTTAAAGGTTATGTGCACATTTCACTCAATGCACTGTATGTGTGCGGCATCCAGAGTTTACGTCTAGCTCCCTTCCTGGTCCTGTGGCAGGGAAAAGGAAGTCTCGCAGATGCTTGCTCACCAACACCTAATGAAGATGAAATTCTCACGTTCACGTGCATGCAAACACACATGCTAGTATTTCCTAAAGGAACCCCTTGCCAAATGTGACAGCCTCCGGTACAGTAACCCAGGATCAAGGAATTGGTGCTTATTGATTCAGAATCATGTAAGAAAGGTAATCCAGGATTAATATAGGTTAAATGCTTGGATAGGACATACAAATGATAGAATAGTTGCCTATAATTCATTCGTAAATGAATATTTGAAGCATAATGGAGAAATAAAAGGAGATAAATATTTAAATGGGCCCAAGATTAACAAGAATATGGCATACAATATGGTATAATTACTCCTTATAATACTTAACAGCGACTTTGCAGTCTTATTTACCTTGACTAAGAAATGTTTGGAGGAATTTTTCCCATGTAGGGAATCGTTTCTCATTGACTGGCTGTACGTGCTGTGCTAAAAGGCCCGGCAGCTCCTGGGAGATCTTCACCAAAGCTGGCTCCTGCAGAAACAAATTAAATAGAACCACAAGCAATTTTACTACAGAAATGAAAACTGCTTGTGGGGTGATTAAAAACCAGGCCTCCAACAGGCAAAAAAAAAAAAAATGTGGTTACTGTTTACCCACAGTCAGGAAGCCTTTTTTAATTTTTCTACTTACTGCTCTTCCTTCCTATTGAAAACTGTCCTTCTCTGAAAGACAGTCCCCCCTCCCCTCAGTGTAGCATCTATTTCATTATAATTTATATCAATAATTTGATCTGGCAACTGAAAATGCTAAGTACTTGGTAACTGCTTAGGGATCAATACCTGCAGTCAATAACTTCTGCATTGCTTATATTTTGAAACAGTGCATATTGAAATAGTCACATATGCCAGAAATAGTTTTACTGACTCTATGTTTAAGCTGTTATATCAACCCAAACACCCTTTAGTTATTAAAAAAACCAGGAAGGAAAAATCAACCAAAAGCATTTCTGAAGCAGGAGATACCTTTTTTACACTCCCCAGTCTGTAACATTAATTCACAAATGTGTTTGTGCCTCTATCTTTGGTAGAATTTGATTAGCTATACTATAGGAGATAAACTAGCTTTTTCCTAGTTTCAGATTCTTCACTATATTATCACACACACACAAAAACCCCATTAAATACAGAAATGAAGTGCATTGCTTTTACTGTTCAAAAATGTCCCAGAAGTACACAAGCATATAAAGTGCAAGGACCCTGACTCTATTGCTTCAGGCTCCTTTTCTTGCTGCTTCATAAGCATTCACCCGCTTCCCCTGGGTCTCTTTGCTTCTGTTTTACATCCTCTCTCTTCAGCATCCTGTGCTTCAGAAGATGACCAACCATCCTCTGATCTTGGCAATGTCCTAAACCACGCTCGTATTATCTTGAGCTCTGGAGGAACGTGATAAAACCTTATAGCTAACATCTAAGAACAGGAAAAAAATACATATCTATTTTTCCAGACCAGTGAGTTTGAAGAGATGGGCTTTGTCATGAAGCACATGATGTGACGTAACCAAAAATACGAATTCAAAATCAGCTTACTGTGATTTATCTACCAGGGAGATACGGGAGAATGGGCCAACGATTAGGGTATCAGCTTTGTGTACAGGAGACCCAGCTATATCTTGTTCCTGAATGCAGTCTGCCTGTGAGATTTTGGGAAAGTGAATTTCTGTCTGTGCCCTAGCTGTGCAGCCATGAAAGGGGGAAAATTGCTGTTCTTACCTCACATGGAATTGAAAAGAAAAATGGCTTCAAGATATTGAGGTGCTTAGATAACCATGCTGATCGGGGCTATGTGGGCTCCTTTCATATACTGGGAAGTGTTATGGACTTTAAACACCTCATAAAAAGGTTAAAAAAATTTAGTCAGTATATCAATATACTAAGCAGCATGACCTTAACCTTATGGCAAAAACAAAGGACCATATAAAATGTGAGATCCAAGTTCAGAATTTACCCAGATTCTGGTCTTATGCTGCTCATTTCCTTACAATCTGTAAGGAGGAATTTAGGTTTTTGATAGCTCAGTTGATTAAAACAACAGAGCAGTGAGCAAATATCAGCTGGCCTTGTTGTGATTTGCATTGAAATACTGCTAAGCCAAGAAGTCACAAGATGAGGTGGCTCATTGCACAATGAAAATAAATGCAGCTCTGGAGAGAGGAGGTGAGCCATGATGGATGTCACGGAGTTGCTGACCTACAAATCAGTTTGCACCTGTCAGTGCGTTCAGTGATACCTCTGTCACACTGAGTCTCATCCCCGAGATCTAATGACTTTGGGTATTGTGCAATTGAAACAGAAATATAAAACCGAACAAACAAAAGAAGAGGTATGCGATGGCTGCCTGAAAGCTTTTGATAAATTACTGGGGAAGAAACCAATAATCCCTGCTGGATGTGTAGAAGCATTTGAGAGTGCTGTGACCAAGCTTGTATAAGTAAAAATTAAACTATGAGCATGTGAACTGGGACACAATTTTCCATTGCAACAATGCCGAGGGATGTGAGGGCAGCCATGCCAGCTCCATGGAACAGTGCCGGGGACACTAGTATCTCCTTTTAGACAGAGTTGTTTCTGAGGACCACACATGGCTGTGAAAGCAAGCTTCCTAAACTGGGTGCAAAATCCAGCAGAAATTCCCAACGTCGAAGTCTGCTGAAGGGCACACTTCGCTGGCTCACAAAAGGAGGCTGCTGGTAAGACACAGTCTCCATTCACCTCATTATACATATCATAACATCATAAGCTGCTCCTCTCTGTCCATGTGATGGGCGTTAGACATGTAAGACTGTGGTGGTACTTCCTCGACAGACCCAACGTTGCTTGCTTAAATAAGGTCAAATAGCACTGGAAGGGGACTTGAAGACAGGATGAACTCGGAACGTCTGTTAGGGCAACGTGGAGGCACAGCGCCTGGCTCGGGAGCATCTTGCAGTTCAAAGCACCCTCGGTCCTTGCTGACCGTGAAGGATGCGTGCATCGAAACGTAGTACAGAAAGAAGACAAGGCCTTTTAAAGAAATAACTAATTCAAGAAAAGCTGAAAAATGTTTTTGTGAGATGAAACCCAACGTAACAGCGCTTTTAACAAGTAATGCCCAGATAATCAAGGTGTTCACAGAAGGGAGTCGGGCAACTGCTTTTTAAGGATCAGCACCTGGAATTCTAGTTGAAGTTTTTTTTGCAACTGTAAGCTCTAAAAAGGCAATAATCCTGATTATAGGGAGTTTTAGTAGGCAAATTCAAGCCCGGATACAACATTCACTCACGAAGTCAAACCTTTTAAAAGGATCAGTGCTTGGTAGGCTAATTTCATTTAAATTGGACGGTATCTCCAGCAGAGCTTACTAATGTTTTATGTCTTGATGTGGCCCAAAACAATTCAGAATCATCAGCTCAATGGAAACAGGGAGCATTTGTTCAAATCTTTCAGCTGATGTTTCTTAGTACCAGTAAAAAAGGAGCAGCCCAAATACTGTTTACATCATGTAGAAATCTTTAAAGCTATCCAAACCTGTTTTGCACCTTTCTATAACAATGAATAGACATGAAAAAAAATTACACCTTTTCCCCCCTAAATATAAAGTAGTTTCCCACCCTTCTGCAAGCTGAATTTTGAAAGGCTTCCTTAGAATGGCAGTTGCAACAAAAAATTAGGACCAAATGTGGCATATGTTGAAGGCACTGGTAGGAAATCTGCTCGAGACAGAGCAGTCAGCAAAGAAAAGCCTGTTGAGAAGATAAGTGAATAAATGGAAAGAAGAAATAGAATTTCAAATAGGAAGAAAGACCTGGGGACAGAAAGAGGCTGCAGAGCAGAATGCATGAGAAAGACCTAGGGCTTTTTAGCTAAAAATCAGGTTGAAAGGAAATTATTTAGACCTTGCAAGCAAATAGAGTGAAGAAAGTAACTCCAAATAAGTAAAGCTGACTGGGCCAGAGAAGAATAAAAATCAGACAGATCCTCAGCCATACAAACTGCCACATCTCTGCTGAAGTCAATGAAGCTATGGCAATTTACGCCACTTTGATGGCACCATGACAATTCATACCATTTATACAGTCTATCCTTTCTGTTGCGATCAGTGGAGCTATGAGAACTTATTCCAGCTGCCTTGATGTGGATTGGTGCAGCCCAGCTTATTCTTACGTTCTCAGCGACTCCAGCAAACATGGCAATATTCGAAGAGTCCAGTGACTGCTGCCTGACTGTCCAAATAACTTTCATTATTTCCTATTTTGCAAATTAAATTGACATTCTTTTCCAATTTAGACAGGTACATGCTGGCCAGAATCACTGGCCACAGAATCTACTGCACTGAACAAAACCATTTGAGAGGTTTATAAAAATGCAAACGTTTTTGCAAGTGATACATTGAATACCCTTACCCACTTAAAGTTTGCAACCTGATTTAAAGCCCAGGCATTTAATTGTCAGCTGCAAATTTCAAAATTAAAAAGTGCCAATTTTGCCTTCCACGAGCTGGAAAAGTATGTTCTGATAGAAGGTAACATGATGTAAAACAGCCATCATTACCAAGTAACACAAATGTTTTTCGTATGTAAAATTGCTTTGTAAAATATTTGCTCCATCTGCTGAAAGTAGCAAAGACAATTTTCCCTGATAGCTAATGGCCCATTTCAGCTGTATGGCAAGCGATTCACCGTGGCTGCGACTTGCATTAAGTAGAATGGCGAAAACAGTGCACCGAATTCTCCACTTATGTAGTATTATCTACTCACTGCTTCCTGAGAGCCCGTCCCTCATTATCACGGCCTTCGCTTTGGATCAGCACACAGGACTAGGGTTGCTTTGACTCAAGAGGCTTTTTGTCAAACTGAGGCACATATGCTATGCTTCAATACAAAAGCACAAAACAGCCACTTTCCTTGACTACAAGAACAAGAAGGTTAGTTCTCTTTCAACTTTCCAGCACTTAAACTGCTGTTCCTTTTTTCACACCACATGGGGCCATGGTTTTCTCTCCTGGCTCATGCTGTCACTCTGCACGCTGAGGATTTCAATATATAAAGATCAAGTACTTCTTTTAATTCTAAATCCGACTACATATACGCACACACACACACACAAAAGGCAAAAAAACAGCACTGGCCTAGTCCAAAAAACCCCTCCCAACTGCATGTTTTATTGTGTACTTTGCTGCTTACCATACCCCTGTTGAAAAGCACATTTTTACATTGTGCCCTGAACTACTTCAACATCTGCTAACAGACCAATAAAAAATAAATAAACCAGGATTGTTTAGAAAGAGAGATCCTTTCTATTTCTTCTGAACACTCCTAAAGTGGCAACAGCAATATGCTGCGAGATCCCTTTTTGTAGATGTCGTCTTGGAAAATAATATATGCAGGGAAATCAAATATAAAATCACTACAGCCTGTGCTACCAAAAATCGGGCAGAAAGAAGATCTTGAAAGCTCCATGAGCTTGTCAAATAATTCTGCATGTTTATGGACAGCA